CCTCCACAGACCAGTTTCAACGGTGAGGCGTAGTGCACCTCACAGACTGTCGTAGCTGTTTGCCCAACTGACTATGTTCAGTCTGCCTCCTCCATCGGCTGTTGGCGGTCTACCCCCGCTCAATTGGTCTTGGCCAACTCTCCCTCTCTCTCTCTCTCTCTGTGCTCACTACTTTTCTGTTTGTTCGTTATTCCCTTCAGATCGCGCACCGGTTCCCCGCTACTTCTACCGACAAAAATGGGTGAGGCCGGGTGAATCTCCAACTACACTGACCGCCCACAAGTACCCGACTCCGTAGCTAGCCCCACGCTTCTTCCGTTGTTCAAGCAAGACGAATCGAACGAATGTTCCGCTGAAAGCGGACAGGTACATTCCCACTTCAGGCTCTCCTCCCCGCACGTGCTTTCCCTCCTATCTTCTACTCTACTAACCCTCTCTAAAAACTAACACTGTCCTGCAAGTTGCCCGGGGCAAAACCCCCCGGTTCGCAACTTATCTCGCTCGAATCCTTCGAGGATCGAGCGAGATTTGGAGTTTTCGCTCCTGTTACCTTCGTTCTCGACACCCTCCGTGCACACGTTTTCGTACTAACTTCGTATTTTACTAACCTATCGCCCAAACTAACCCCATATCTGATTTTGCCCTTCCCCAAAACCCCACTTTAGAATCCTTGTTGACCAAAAATGGCCAGGAGATGGCCGAACTAACGGTTTCTCCCCCTCATTCGTTCTCCCCTCCGCCATCTCTCCGCGCACCTATTTTCTTCCTAACTCCTATTCTACTCAACTAGCCGCCGAACCACCTTCGCCATTCGATGCGCCCGGGGCTAAAACCCCAATATTGCTTCCTCCCCCGCTCAATTCCATCGAGGAACGAGCGAGCTGTCTCTTCTTAACCGCGCCTTCCTCCTAGCGCCCCGCCATCTCCTTCACCACTGCCGTGTTGTCGTCAACGGGGCCGGTTCGCTGCTGCCGAATACCACCTGCGATCGATCACTGCACAGCTGGCCCAAAAAAAAAGGGACAAAGTTCCGAAAAGGAAGGGCACGCCCCCGCTTTATGCACGTCGGTCTTGCGTAGGGGCTGCGGTAATCTTCTTGGTATCGCTCCAATACTCCCGAACGGACTCAATCGAGGCAGTGTCTGCGGCCATTCCGAGCCCGCGCAGCCGTATTACCGGATCTCCCCTTATGCACGATCCTGGCCCTTTTCTCACGGCTCATGCGTGTCAACCCTTGCGCAAGGACCATGCAGATCTTCGCCGTATCGTTCCAATTTAGCGGATGTCCCGAAGGACTAAGCAACTCCCGACGCCCCTTCGCGGCTTGAGCGGCCTCCCCCTGTGCCACCCCGCCTCACCGTTTTCGCACGAACCCGGCCGCGTTTTCCCGATTTATGCATGCCATCCTTGCGCAGGGGCCACACAAACCTCCTCTGCGCCACTTCCAGCTTTAGCAGATGTCCCAAAGGACCCGCGCGTGGTAAACCCTCTCCYGCATGCACCCACCCCTTTTTGCRTCCGGGCTCGTTTCCAAATTCACGAGTGCCAACTTTGCACAGTGGCCGAGCTAATCTTCTCCGTATCGTCTCCACTTTGCTGTGTCAGCACAAATCTGCCYCCCGATGCCAACAAAAACCCCCGGGCGACGACCGATGTGTGTCGCGGATATTGCCACCSGCCCGCGGCCGCTTGCCTCGGCCTCCTTTGGTCAGTTCACCGCCCCCTCGTAGATCGCGCAGATCTCCTCCGCCTTACCGGGGTTCCTCCCAAAGGAGATCTGCCACGATCATTACCCCATTCACCCCACTCTCTCCTCATGGACCTGGCCCTCCCTACGGGGTTTATGCGTGTGAGCCTTTGCGCGCGACCAGGCAAATTTTCTTTAAATCGTTCCCTAGATCCGCCCTAGCGGCCGCGTCAGATAGTTGGCCARYTCCTGCAAAGCCCAACCTTTTTAATGTTTGGCCCCCATCATTCAAGTTAGGCGGGGGTCTGCGCCCCCAGGGTATATKGGTACTCCCGACAAGATGGGCCGTTGGCCTCAGGGTGCGGCCGCCCGCCTCTTAAACGGYTCTAACCAGGCAGAACAATTCTATGGTGGTCCCCAAAATAAGAAAAAAGGATCGTTTGGAAGGGGGAATGAACCGCGGCCCTGCCAATATTCCCATAGCCTAGCGGCGCGGACCAACGGTCGGGCTCCCCCTAGAAAAACAAAAAGGGGGATAGTCCYRTGGGACCCTCAACCCCTTAGCTTTCTGGCGCTCCATTGCTCCTGCGTTGTCTTCCGCCGGCCTCGAACCTCGAACCTCCGCCGTGCAAATCCAGTGYCGTAACCTAAAGGGCCAAGCCCAAGCCTGTGACCAGCAAGCGCGGTTTCCCATGTAAAGTGGCACCGCGCGGCGTTCCGGGCCAGGATACYGCCCTGGTTACTTTTTCGGCCCACAATTGCACCCACGGACCCTAGGTGTCCGCATCGGTCTACCACCCCGCGCCATGACCGTCCCATGCGCCTACCGGCGCGCCAGCCCTACCCTCGGTCACGCGCGCCTATCAAAAACAAACTTTCATTCCCTAACCATGGCCGTAACACGGTCTGGGTCGGTCGGCTACCCCGACCACCTACTCAATTAGGAAAAATCACATGCGCGCCTTAAATATTGCGCGCCCACCTACTCCCTACCGAGACAAGACAGACCCTTGCCTACGTGCGGGCGACCTTCGCATTTTCCCGCTCGGGCACTCAAGATCCAGGTTAACCAAGCCTTTCTGTCACTTGCAAAAATCAGGGCGGATACCTTTGTAAGGGTATTCGCGCCGACAGCTTACCGGACCATATTAAGCGACGTCCCCGTCGCGTCGCCAGATCAAAAAGCTATAGATTTCCATCACATTCCAAATGCTGATGAGATCAGAACCAATCCGATTAGCCGACAGACTCAGGGTCGAGGCCTCCATCAATTCGTGCCACACAACTATATGCTGCCAGGGTTTCAACCTGGGTCTCCATTGTGCAAATATCAGGACGCCGGTGTATTACGTGTCAATACTACAGCATAAGTTCCAAAGGCCCCCAAACCATCCTCTTCCCCTTTGTCCTAGACAACCGCCGTCCTCTCGTTGGGTGTCCCAGTTAGCCTCTTCCTCATAAGCAAAGCCATAACTAGGGACGCGGACTTCGAATGGGGCCTATGAAGGCACTTTCTGCCTTCTTTAACAAGTTCTTCACAGTCAAACAAAACACATATGTATAAGCTTATAGCCTCTCTTGGGCTTTTCTGCAGCCTAGTACAGAAATGCCAGGTCCCCATCTGGGCCCACTGTAGCTTGGTTGATCGGGTCAGGTCTACGGCCCACTACATTGTTACCTTAGCGGCAGTATCCTCCCATTGGTTATACAATGGCAGGTATATCCCTGATAACCAATCAATCAGGGCTCCCAAAAGACTCGACTCTTATCCCGCAAGGTAATTTCCCTGGGGCGGGCAACTCCCCTTAAACTCTTGCCTTGCRGGYCCGCAGCCAGGTTGTGCCGGCTAGCARCCATCMAYTAGGGGTTGCGCCCAGGTGGCACYAAGCTTTATCGTTAGCTTGGTATTCCTTTAAACATGTCTCAKAATTAGCRCARGTGGYCAGGCGGGGCGTTACAAACGATTYACGRCCGCTGCRGGACTACGYAGGGRTCCAAAGGCATTTACCGGCCCTCCAGTAATAGGCACGRCATCCTKTACTCAGTCACAAACAATCTCCCCGYCGGGTCCACGAGGCCGCGGCTCCTGACTTGATCAGAGCCAGCAGTCGCCCACCCTGAGGCATCTCTCGCCCTCCTCACACATTTCAAGCAAGCATGGTCCCTTCTYGTCAGACTTTATCARCACAGACAATGCTTTCCACATCATTCMTTTTTTGCCTACCCTTAYTGGGTGAAGGGTGYCTTCCATAAAAGACTTCCTGRCCACCCCTTTTGTATGGGATGGCTCCTCACACKACCTCTTCCAAAACCATGAAGGGGTCTCCACGCAATATAACTCCCACCTCCCAGAATTATGAAGGGGGCCTTAATCATCAAACAACTCAAACTGAGGGACCACCTTCTGGGTCCCTGTACAGCTTATGCAACGGTGTTTTAGTACGACCAAGCATGCAAATTCCTAAATCCATCAATCCCGTAGGATCCTCACAGTTTTTCACAAACGGGTTGCACTTCCCCTCCTTATACCCTGCCCTCTCGTCCGCTTGTAGCAGACCGCACGAGTATACCGGAGGGTAGACAGCTCTACAATTTACACAATCATGCCCATGAAATGCATCATGTACATCTCTCACACAAAGCCAAACATTCATCGAGATAAATCTACACATGTGAGAGCGATAGTGATCGTCACAAAACAAGTCCCATAGGATCTCAACTCATAGTACACTCAGGGAGTAGAATGYCTCCCCCAACAATCRAATACAAGCACCCAACTCCATACTCCGCCCGTCTGAATGGGACTCRTMACCCCACTRTATACTCATCAAGTACACTCGGGAGCATAGCACCTGCCTAATCATCCATAGAATATTCTAGCCCCTGTCCTCCCCTGCTGGGAGAACTCACACCCTGAGTGCTACGAACTCCCAAATCCCATTCAGAGCAGCAAGCTTCTGAATCCCAAAACCAAATGTAACTAAGTAGTCTCATACATCACACGGCCGAGCCCTACCCCAGGGTCGTAGCCCACGAAGACTCTCAAGAGGAGGCGAATGAGCAAAAGTCGAACGCATATGTACAAACGGATAGGAGCTCATCCCACCACCCCTACGCACACACACACACCTAGGGCCCGCTCAACTAACTCAAGGTATGTACACCCCTAACCCTGCCCTGTGTGTGTCAAAGATCTCTAGTCCTATCAATACATAGACAGACCGATCCCTACTTACACAATTCCTCATGGTTCTGTCTGTATAACTGGGCCCTGCCCCCATCTGGAGATCGCTCCACTATCCTGCCCTGTCTGTCATAGAATTTGCCGTCGACCTCCGTGACTCGCCCTTCGGCCTTATCCTCAAGGAGCTCTGGACAGTTCACGGCTCTATGTCCCCCCTCCTTGCACCAAAAACAGGAGGTATCATGCCACCTAGCAGTCTTCTTCTTTCCCCCCTGCGAACTCGATGTCGAAGTCGTCCCCATGGTCTCAGTAGCCACCTCATGACACGAGGGCAACCCCATATGGCCCTGCGGTCTTGGCCCCATAGCCTCAACACCCTCACCCCCTCGTGCAGCCGCACTCCCTGGCCCGCGCTTTGCGTGTCCAACTCCCGGGGCCCCTCCTCATGAGCGCTCTCTGTCATCGCCGCCTCATCCCTGCATACTCCTGTCGGCTGAGAGCCCCTCATAGCGGCGGGCTCACTCATGACCTCCTGCCGCTCTTGCCGTCGCGAGTCAGGTCCTCCTGAGTCCGTCCCCGTGACCCAAGAGCCCAGCTCCGCCCTCAACTCTCCCAACCTCGGGGCATGCTCTGGAGCGTCAAGTCCCTGAGGCCCCTCTTGTGGAGTGCCTATCCCCATGGCTGTCGCCAACTCATGCAAGCGCGAACTCCTCCTCTCCGTGGACATAGCCATAAGCGACTCCTGCGCGCCACTCTCCTTCTCGACTGCGTCCAAGGGCGCCTCTTCCATCGGCTCGTCCTGACGAGGGACTTCCACTGCTACTCCCTGACTTGACGACGCCTGCATCCCACGGCCCTGGATGTCAGCACCGGCCGGCCCTGTCCTGCTAGCCTCCCAGGCTGCTGAGAGCCTATCCATAGCGGCCGCCATCTCCCCAAATCTCCTCTCCCACTCAACCTCTCTGGCCTGGCTCCTCACCCTCTCCTCGGCAAGCTGAGCAGTCAGGTGCTCTACCTCCAACTCCTTAACCCTGAGCTCATTGCTGAGTAAATTATACCATTGGAAAGATGTGACTGCCGTCTCGCATACCCTCCGATCCATGCGCTCAATCGCCATCCTGGTCGCAGAGAATCCCACGTCTCCCATCTCCCTCAACTCACTCGTCCCCTCGCCTGTCGGTCCTGCCTCTCGTGGCCTCTGGCGGGCTGCATCCCTCTGGCTCTCATACCTAGCCCACAACTCGTCAATCCTCTGCTCGCTCGTCTTGGGCTCGACTGGCGGTGTCGGCTCTATCCCTGCCGCCTCCATCTCAGCTTGCTTCGCATGTATCTCGTCCAGACGGACTCGCACCCGGGCGGACTTCTCCTCGCGGGTCTCCCTTGGGGTCCCTCTCACTCGCGGCCCTGACCCTCTGGAGCCATCGCCTTGGCCCTCATCCCTTCACTCACGCATGGCACTACTGGCGGTAACTCCGCTGGAACGGGCTCCTCGATGACCGGACTCCTAGTCACGTGCGTGGACGATGGCAGGTCAGGGGGCGCCTCCATCCCCGCTCCCTCACACACTCCCTGATCCTCCGCCTCTGCCTCCTGCTCAGGCGTGAGGGTGGCCGCAGGCGGGGACTCCGGAATCTCCTCGCTGCCCGGCTCGGGAATCCCCTCTGGCCATGAACGTTGTGCTGGCCCTGGAACTGGCGAACATGGAGGGGTATCGTCTCCGACCGTGATCACCTCTCCAACCTGGGGTCGTACCGGATCCGGCCGCTTGGCTGCCATCTCAAGATCCTGTGGCTCCTCTTGGCCTCGCGTGTCTGTTTCCATCTCGGGGTTGAGGGGCTCCAATGACACGTAGCACGCCGGCTCAACTGAGCCCTCTCCCAGCCCTGAGGCCTCCCATTAGGATACATCAAGATGAGTCGCTAAACTTCGGAATGACGTCTCTCTTGGTATGTCCAGTTCCTGCGTTGATGGCAGTGGCGAGGGCGGCCTCAACTCCGCACTCGTAATCCGCCGAAACTCAACCGCCCGGAGGCAACAGGCAGGGAACGACTCTTCTGTCAGTGCGAGCCCTGCGGGCTCATCCTCCCGCTGGGCCGGGGCTCCCCTCCCCTCTCTGGCCAGCCCCGCCTCTCTCGGTGCCGGTTCCCTTGGCCTCTTGCTTCGCCGCCGCCTCTCAACTCTGGGCTCGTGCCTCTCGTGCTGTGGCTGTTCGAACGCCCTCCTAAGTTGGGCCTGACAGTCCTCACAGTCTCGAGCCCTCTCCTGAATCTGCTTGATCGCCTGCTTCTCTGCCCACCTCGTCCAGATAAGTAGGGCCTGCACCCATTCCCCCTGCGGAACCCCCAGACTCAACATGCAGTGCTCATATGCGGGGATGAACTCATCTGCGTTCCCCTCCTCCAATCGAATGGGCATGCCATCACGCCACCTAGGGGAAGCTCTCAACCTCTGCATCCCGGCCTCCACATCTGGCCAAGTCAGGGCCTCCTCACATATCTGAGCGACGGGCTCCTCGAACCTCCCTATGCCCCTCAAGTGGTGAATCCTCTCCGCCACTGACCACCCTCTCTGTGCCGCATGGTCCCGATATACGTCCAAGAAGAGCTCAATGTTGTCGTCATCAAACTCAGGCGTAGGCTCCCTCCTATGCGGCTCGTGCTGCTCGCCCCTTCCCTCCATCCTCTGGGGCCCCTGGCGTGGCCGTGTGTCCCTCCCGCCCCTCTGCATGACTGCCTTCGAAAGGTCAGACCTGCACCACAGGCAAGAGACAATAAGCATGCACATAGCAAGGTCAACAACCGAGCCATCGGCCTAGGGAAATCCCACATACACTCCACACCCATCCATCCCAGTCACCCACCTATCTAGCCGTCCGACCTGGGTAATACCTAGGCAAGACTCTATCCCTAACGAGGTCTCATGGCCCCTTACCTATTCCCTGGCCACGAACTTCTGCAGCCTTGTCCCTGATACCCAGTCCTTCCATCCTGCCCCGTCCAACTCCTCAATTTGGTAGGCCCCAAACTCGCCACACCGCACGATCCTATAGGGTCCCAGCCACCGCTTGTCAAGTTTCCTAGACCACTGCTTCTCCAGCGAGGAATCGTACAGCAGCACCATGTCTCCAACCTTCAGCGGCTCCTTCCTTATTCGGGCCATCTGGTCCCACCTCATCTTATCTTCCATGCGACTTCTCTCCACCCGACCAGCGGCCTCCCGTAGCCTTTCTTCAGCGGCCCCCACTTGTCGCGCCCGTATGTCGAGCAGTTCTTCAAAGGATAGGTTCACTTCCAGGTCCTGGCGCCTCCACGTCTTCATTAAACTTTCTATGGGGAAAGTGGCATGCCTTCCATACCATAGAGTGACTGGCGCATACTTGGTAGTCCTTTAAAGCTGCTCTCAGGAACTTCGGCCATTGGTTAGGCTTCCCCTCCATCCATTTAGCCAGGAGATTCGTGATGGTGTTGTGCCCCCTCTCCACAAGTGCGTTCGCCTGGGGGTGCGCAACAGTAGTATAGTTTGCTACCACGCCGTACCCCACGAGCAAGGTCCGCACCTCGTTACAAGTGAACTCCGACCCCCGGTCCATCACAAATTCTTTGACGAACGGATAGCACAGGTAGTACTCTTCGATGCACCTTGCTAAAACTGGGTCAGTCTTTGTGCGAATAGCCCGACCGTACACAAACCCAGTAAGGTTGTCCCGTGCATCGAAGACATAATTACTTTCATCCTCCCCGAGTGACATGAACAAGAGGTCGAGGTGTACGACGACACCCACTTCCCTTTCTAGCCTGGGGTGTAAAGGCTCCCCAGGCCTTTGCGCTGACCTCTGCTGACAAGGCACACAGGACTGGCAGTACTTGATAACCATAGTCAGCATTCCATCCCAACGGTATAACTCGCTTATCTTCGCACACGTGGCACTAACCCCTCTGTGCCCCCCTGCTATACCATCGTGTAGGGCTGCTATGACATCGATCTGCCGGTTCCTCCCACATACGATCCTCTTGGGGTTCCCAACCTGTCGCTTTATAAACAAATGACCATCTCTCACCACGTAGAGATGCCTCATCTTCTGGGCCTTAGCACTGGCGTCCCTATCCCTCATTTCGCATGACAGGAGTGACCCCAATTCTCGATAAATTCCGTCATACTCCTCAACACAGAAGGCCTCCCTAATCTCTCCCTCTTCGAACTCGTCGTCCTGACTCTCAGGAATGAGAAGTTCGCCCTCCTCTGAGCTGGCTGCGCCCCTCTGGTCAAAGTTCCCCTGTAGGAGCGTGTTGGTGAGCAAGTACATTCCTCCCATTAGTTGCTCATGCTCCTCTACCTGGGTCGGGCCTTCCTCTATCGTCCTTACCTCCTCTGCTAGATTATGTGTCCCTGCCAATGCCAATCTCATCATCCAGCCAACATCCCTATTTCCTTATGGATCTTCTTCCTGGAAAGGCTTGAGGACCAACTCCTCCTTCTGCTCGTACCCCCTTGGTGCTAGCCATATAGGATGCGTGACGCAGCTAGGCACCCTCAGCGACCACTCATTTATGTGGAGGCGGACGTCCTCCTCCTGGTCCAAGAACCCATCAACTGGCGGGGCATCCTCGATTGACCCTTGATTCGCCCCGTCCCAGTTGATACGGCTCAACCCATCTGCCCTATTCTTGTCCCCGGGAATCCTCTCCAACTCAAAGTTAAACATCCAAATGTAAGTCAACCACCTCGCGATGGTTGGGTCAGATGGAGTGTAACTTTTCAGGGAACACGCCAGCGCGGTAGGGTCCACCCTCAAAATGAGCCTTCTGCCAAAGATGTAATTCCGGAAGGTTCTTAGGCAATGGAGCACCGCCAACGTCTCCTTCTTGAACTGAGAGTAATTCCTCTCAGTCGTATTGAGGGTGCGGGTTTCAAATCTTAACGGCCTCTCCTTCCCATCAGCATCCGCCTGGATTAGGACCCCTCCTAAGGCAGTTGGCCCGACGCCCGTCTCAACAACAAATGGCTTCTCCTCCGTGGCCTTGTAATTCGGCGCTCCCATCACCAAGCCTCCTTCCTTGAATTCTCTCTCCATCCTTTCCACAGCCTTTTCCTGGTCTTCGCCCCAGACCCACTCCTGATCCTGACGTACCAGCTTCCTCAAATGCTCCGTCTTGGTGGCAAAGTCCTTCACAAAACTCCTCCAAAACCCGCAGGTCCCAAGAAGCTCCTCACGTCCGTTATCGATAGGAAGGGGACTGGCCACTCTAGGATCTTGTCCGTCTTCTTCCCATCTGGCCTCCGCCCCTTTTCGTTGCAAACAAAGCCCAGAATCGTGGCCTCCCTCATGCAATGCTTCGACTTGGGGCCGCTCACCGTCAGGTTGTGCTCCTCCAGCAGACCCAGAACTTGATCGATATCCTGGACGTGCTTCCAGACAAACCGCCTCACTCCGGGCATCACTTCGTCCTCCTCCTTCTCTTTTGGACCCTTGACCGCCAAGTCGTCAATGTAGGGCTGAGTGATATGTGGGCTAACTGTCTGCATGGCCCTAATCATGTGTCTTTGCACCATTGCCACCGCATTAGTCCACCCCTGAGGTGCCACATTCATGTCGCCTTGCCGTATGCATCGCCGTATGCATCGCCGTCACTGGCCTATCCGGTGGGTATACAGGAAACTGGTCATACCCAGAATAAAGGTCTATAAGTGAGATTATAGGCCTCCCTGCGCATGATTCCGACAGGGCATCCGCGTTTGGCAACCCTCCCGCGTCCCGCACCGTCACTGCATTCAACCGTTGCAGATCCTGCACCCACCGCAGCGTTCCGTTCGGCTTGATAAAACAAAACTAGGGGGAAGCGTATGGCCCACTGGAGTAATCCGCCGCATACATCCTCATCTTCCCATCCAGGTAATCCACCACCTTCTTCTCCTCATCCGGATTCGGGTACCGCGCGCCCCTCAGGTTCCACGGCTCGTGTGGGACGGTATGGATTCGTATCATTGGGATCTTATCCACGTCCAACCTCCCACGCTCGTCGTCATTAAACGCATACGCGCCATGCCTCCTCTTTATGGTTTCTACCATCAAGGTCCTTTCCTGGGGCGAAAGGAAGCCAGGCTCGCCGATTATCAGCCCTTCCTCATTCTCATTATTAATGTGGCACGGTCTTGCCTGCGCGCGCTCCCTCATACGCCTTATCAGCCCTCGCTCCCGCTCATAATAGGCTTCCTCGTCCTCCGTGACAAGCACGGGGACCGGGCGGCACTTCTTGTCTATAGTCTTATACCGCCTTTGGGAACCCTGCTTAAGCCCTCCTCTAAAAAAGGTCGACTTGTCGTTCGGGCCTGGGCCATCGCAGGGTCTCCTTTCCTCCCGGGAAGCCGATAGATCAGTTCCACTTCTCCCACCTGAGGGCTTTCCAGGACCTGCTCCCTCAACGCCTTGATAGCGTCAGGGTCCGCCATATCATGTGCCGCCACCACCTCCATTGCCTTATTCACATCGTTAAGGCTAAGGGATAATACCTCGCCTACTCCTTCCTCCTTCTGCTCCTCCCGGAGTCTCCGTCGCGCGTATTCAGACTCCTCGAAGGTAAAGGAGCCGAGGTTGAGCCTGTTCCTCTTGATAGCCTCAGGGTCCGCCATATCATGTGCCGCCACCACCTCCATTGCCTTATTCACATCGTTAAGGCTTAGGGATAATACTTCGCCTACTCCTTCCTCTTTCTGCTCCTCCCGGAGTCTCCGTCGCGCGTATTCAGACTCCTCGAAGGTAAAGGAGCGGAGGTTGAGCCTGTTCCTCCCGCTTCCGGGTCCTGTGTTCCGGCACTTAATGATTTCATAGTTTCCACAGGCTGGATCGGACAAAGCCAGAATCATCGTCCCTTCATGCCTGTTGAAGACCAAGGTCTCCGTTCGGCAGAGGAACGACCTCCCCAGAAAAATAGGGTGGTCGACGTCGGGCATGACCAAGAAGCACGTCCGCGCCCTTACTCTCCCAATCTCTACCATTACATTAGATGCGGTGCCGCAAAAGATGGCCTTGCAGTTGGCGTCATGCAACACGCCATGGTCTGAATGGTCGACCTCCAGCCCGAGCATAGTCGCATCCCGCTCCCGGATGATGTTCATTTTCGCACCCGTGTCCACCATTGCAATGCTCGGCTGGTCCCTCACCTTCAGGTCCACCAACCTACACGCCACACATTTCCAATCCATCCTGGTGCCCGCCTCCGTCCACTCTATCTCCCTGGGCAGGATAGAGCTCAGGTGGACATTGGGCACTAACCTCCGTGAGAGCCGCTCTTTCAGCTCGCCCCGGAGCCTCGGTGCTGACGCTAGAATGTCCTTTAAGTTCATCAGATCGTTATGGCCCTCCAAAAGCTTATCCACCATTCGCTCCATGTCAAAGCCTTCCTCCAGCCGGACTGCATAATTCTTCCTTTTTGGCACGCCGTCATGCAGACTCGACTCCACCCCTCCCTGAGCCCCTCTCTTCTTGGCCCTCTGTTCCGCCCTCCCGTCCTCCTCCTGCCGGAGCCTCTCGTCCTCTTCGTCATCACCCTCATCTTCCTCTTCTCGAACCTCTACCACTTCCTTTCTTCGTTCGGGCTCAGGGTCCTTTCGAGGGGGCGCCCGACTGGGTGCCTGGCTAGACCCTTGACTGGTGGTAGCCTTACTTTGGCCCTTAGTCTGCGCGGCCTGTGGTGCCCTTCCATGAGATGTAGGGGGTCTGAAGGTCATCCCTGACCTAGGACCTGCCCCGGCCGTCGCCACACTTGGACACCCTTGCGGCCCTGATGGCGATTCCGGACCGGATCCATAGAGCATCACCTCAAGAAGGTTCATTTTCCACTCCCGGGCCTCCCCGCACATCACCCTTAATCGTTCTTGGTATTTGCCCACCTTTGCAAGCAGATCCTCCATCCTCTCCAGGATGGTCGAGGCCGACTCTCTCGCCGCCTCCTGCGCCTCATCGTCAGACTCAACGACTATGGGCTCCTCCTTTATAGTCCCTGCCTTCAACCGCTGAGTTACTTCCTCATTTTCACCCACAATCTCCTCGACTCTTATGTCGGGGTCTTGCCTTTCCTGCCATATCCTAAAYATTGTTGGGGCTGYTGGAGGCCCGGCCGYTGCCCGCCTGAGGGCCTYCTGCCTGATTCCTCCCGGGGTCTTGGGGTCAATGTGCGTTCCCCACCGATCGTATATATCCCCGTCCATACAGGTGGAGATTAATCCTGCCTTTTCGTCGTCCCGCCGCTGTTGGCAGAATCGTACGGTGTGGCCCACCTCGCCACAATGCCAACAAGTTGCGTTCCGCCAGTCGAAGCGGGGTCTCCCATACCCCTGGCCTCCTCCCTGGCTGCCTTGGCCACCTTGGTTCTGACCCCCTTGACCATTCCAGCCTCCTCCACGGCCTCCACCATTTCCTCCTCGCCCCCTGCCGCCCCCTCCTCTACCCCCTTGACCCCGGCCCCCATTGCCCTGCCCGCCTTGTCCTTGGCCCCCTCCCCCGGCCACACTAGCTTGTGAGGCCTGCTCGGAGGGCGGCGGTTGGGCCATGGGCTGGCTTTGGGTCGCCGGGTAGCCCGGGGGGCCCATACTTGCTGATGGGCCTGAGCAGGGGACCATGTGTCCCGCGTGGGCCTGACCCCCTCCACACGAGACACAGTGGTTGCAACTGGGCCAGGGTGCGGACTGACAGTGCGGCACCCAGTGCCCGCAAGTTGGTGGCGGCCCCATGTGCGATGGCCCTGCTGGCGCCGACGCGGCCGCGGCGACAGGTGGTGGTGCGGCAATGCCTTGGGGAGCCTGTCCCTTCCCTGACCCCTGCCCTCCCTGCAGCAAGTTGCGCTGCTTCCTCTGGGCCTTAATCAGGTTGTGGGAGCCTGTCTCCCCTCCGCCATAGTCTTCTTGCCCAACCTCCTTATCTACTGCCCCTGACGCCCGGCCTTGGGCCACTAACACCCCTCTCTTCTGTATCTCTGCTTCATTATCATAGCCCAGCGCCGCCAGCACGTCCGTGACTATTCTCTTCACCCCTAGGGTCCTGGATGCGGTAGCATCCCTCTCCTTCCTCTTGCGCCTTTGCAATCTCATTTGGTGCTGCTCCACCTGGTCCAGACTCCCTTCTTCCACTCCCTTGTCAATGGTTGCCCAAGAGGGCCTCTCGCTCCCTTCCCCATACTTGGTCAGCTCTGTGGCCTCCAAGCCCGTAAGCAGTCCCAGAAATGTGGCACACTGCGCCTCCTCAGAAATCCCGTGCACTTTCCTCGCCTTTTTCTTAAATTTGTGCACAAACGCCCCAATGGTAGAGAAGTCTTCCTTATTCATGGCCTCCAAGTCGGCCATGGTCAACTGGCCGTCCCCCAGCCTGTACTTCCTTCGCATTAGGTCCCCAAACTTTGCCCAACTGCCACCGGCGGCATCCACAATCTTAGCCACTTCCTGATGGTGGCTATGCAGGACATACCTCAGGACCCGTTGGAGCTTGACCTCATCCGATAGCCCCACTAGTGCCTTCTCTATCAGATCCAGCCAATCAGATACCCGATCCCCTTTGAAGTGGAATATCTCGACCTTTGGGACGCTGCTCGGCGCCCTCTCGCGCTTGTCCAGGACATCGATGAGGTCATCAAGAGTCACAAGCTTCCTCCCACCGTCCGCCATCTCTTCTGGCATTTTGGCCACCCGCCTTCGACTTCAATCTTCCTGTTATAAGAGAYGATGGGACAGAGGACCTCACTCARCGACTCAAYCTTTCATGACCCTATCRAGTTGACCACCTTAGACACCCCACACTCTAGAYCTGACAGACATTCCTTCTCCCATYYCCCTTAGGCCYATCTAGATGACGCATATCCTTACCATAGAACTTCCTCRCYCACATACAGCACCCTGCTGTCAACCAAACCGCCAATCAATCAATCATCCAACCCATAGTCACCTAGATCACCTTACATACATCTCATAGTCCTTCTCTTATTCACTTATATGCCTAGTTTTCTCTCTTACTCCCATACCCGGATGTCGTTCCACCAGGGACACCGGTAGGCTTCTGTCATCCCCGGCAACGGCGCCACCTGTCGGGCGCATCGGCCCGGCACCGCACGCGGCGGCGCGGGACCCTCTCGGCCGCGTCACGCAGGAGTTGGATCCATCTCGATTTAACGCGCGAGTGGAGCTTCCTTAGGCCGCTCCGGCCGAGTGCGCCAGCCATACCTCTCGCGAGCCCCTATGACAGGACCCTCTCCGGCCTACGCGAGGCACAACTTACCTCCACCTTACGGGACTTGTCACCTCCCTTCGGTGGGCGTATCCCCGCCGAGCTACCAGTCCACAATACGAAAGTTACTCAGTTGCAATCGTAGAGGTGGACCAGCCGAGGGCGTTTCTTGTTCGCTGTAACATAGGGGGCACGCGCGGTAATACGCCTATCGGACCCGCACGCGAACCGACATTTTGGGGGGCTGAAGTCCCAAGCG